CTCGTCTTATACACATGCTATATAATGATGAACCTGAGGAAATGTTAAAGGTAATTAATTTATTGGAGAAGTTTTTCTTTAGAAAATTATTATTGAGCAACTTTCTAGGGATTTGCACTAGATCTCCTTAAGATTGGTGCTTCATTTAGTACTTTTTAAGTTCTGGAAATAATCCAACAAACTGAGTTATCTGCTTCTTGTATACTGATGAACCCTGCCTTTATCACAGCCTGAGTTTAGGGAAACACTTATACAATCATATGTAGTTTGATTTTGATAATGAAACTGAAAGGTCTCTATTGAAAGAAAAATGTGCTCTACCATATACCAGTTGATGTTATTCATTTGTGTTCAAACTATTCATTTTACTCTAGACTAGATGGATGGACAAGTATTGAAAGTTGATGGAAGCTTGAGTTGAAAGGAATTGTTAAAATGGCTTTTCATTTGACAGAATTGAAAGGACTCTCACCTAAATGGTAAAAGTGGATAAGCTTTAAGAGAGTTCCAATATTATAATTTGTTGCCAAACTTCCTCTTTTGTAGACAAACAACTTAACTATTTTTCTGATGCATTTTCTCTCTAATTTTATGAAACATGTAACAATGCTGAAACTAAAGCACTTAAATGTAATAGATTGTAGTACATTGTTAATACTCTAGACCTCTGTAGCTCCAAATGGAACTTCTGTTTCTAGGATGATAGCATGATCTATCCTCTCTTTCTTTGTGTTGTTACCTAATTTCTTTGTGGAGCTTTGGGATTACTCCCACTACTGATGTTCATATATAAAGAGAAAATGATTTCTAGATCATAGACCTCAATCATTCCTGGAGGCAATTAGCTGGAAAAAAGCCCATTTCATTAAGATGGCATGCGTGACTCTGCCGGTTATGATAGAACAATATTACTTATTAGGTATGTGATTGTAGGTTCACTAAGTTGTTTTTATTTGGTTTTGTTTTTCCAAGTAAAACTTCTTTGGGTGGAATCAGATAAAACTATCTTCCAGTAATATATACCAACACACAGTTGTTTTCACATTTCTTTTCTCCTTTTAGTATTCTAAACCAGACTGTCATTATTATGATATTGGACTAGTGATGTTTGATAAGGGGATGCTATCATGGTATATGATTTAAATACGCAAGGATATTCCAATGGAAAATATTGGTGCTGTGGGTTACTTAGATTTGTTCCAGCATGGTTAGATAGATATTAGATAGATACTCTACGTAGTAGGAGCAAGAAGGACGAAGTGTTTAGAAATCGTGGATTTGCTGGAGGTTGAAAAGTAAAGTTCCTTGGTTCATACTTAGCACTATTGATTGTGTCAGTACTCAGTGCTTTAGATAAATGATTTGAGAACAGTTAGTTCGTCCTACTAACATGTGGTTATCAGTTCTAAAAGTGATTCTCTCATATAATAACCGAACACCAACAACGATTAATAAAATTTTCCAATAAAAAAAGTACTGACTAAATCAGGTGAAATACTACAAACGGAAGCTCATAATATTCTTTTTTCCCCCTCTAAATCAGATAATATGCACTGTTAGGAAGCATATAATGGCTGGAGGTCCAAAGCGCATAACTTTCACAGTTCCTCCTCTAGTCTTTTCTGCACTGAAGGTTTGTTGTTTTCAGCACTTATG